GATATTATGCCCAATGATATGGACTGAATTTTCCGTTAAATTAAACTATGCTGGGTTAACCTATAGCTTCAACCTCGTTCATGCCTAATCAATGTGTTTCTACCCTTGAAAGTATAACCAAATATCATTAAATCGTAGATATGAAGACTTTCTATTTTGCCGCAGTGTTGATTTGATATCATTTTCGAAACGTGGTCAGAGCGTAAGGGAGAACTCGTGGAACGTACCTAGCTATGTGTCCTCTGTCGCAGTATTCGTGATATCCTGCATAGGACCATTGACTTAGTACATTCCCAAACATTTCGCCAGGATCTCCAGTTACAGGCGCCATCATTAGCACAGGGTTACAACTTGTCACTTTTATAAATTGTAACTCTGTACCAACGATGCCGGCGAAACGTTTGGGAGTGTACTATCTAAATGGTCGGATGGTGGTCATCATGAATACTTTTGCGGAGGATGCAGCACAGAGTGCGTTCCATAAGATCTCCTTGACGCTATGATCAAGTTTCGAAAACGAGATAGAAACAAAGTTTCGTTACGTAAGGGATAAATTATCTAAAAGCTCTCGATAAAGAATGCAAACGAGTTCGAAATTATCGAAGCAAAGGATTCTCTTGGTCGTTGGAAGGATAATTACTAATGTACATAGCAACATACTAAAAAAGAGTTTAGGTGATGCTAATATTTTTAGTTTGAGCTCGTTAGTGAAAACATCAGGCTCATATCCTAATTTATCTATTTATACTTCATTTTTGCTTGTTGAATTGAGACATCATAATTCAAATATTTTGTCAAAAATAACCTAATTAAAGATGACTTAAAATTTTTTGCATCAACTTCGATCGATAAAAACAGTGCTAGTCCACGTGAAGATGTAAATATACTCAATAAATATTCTTTGGACAAATCTGACGTGAAAAAGCAAACATTATATTAATCTCATAAGAGATCCTACTCACCCGCAGATGGGACAGTTGAGACGTGGCCAGAATACCTCGCGGCGAAGAAAGGCTTCCATGTCGAAGGCTTCTATATGCTGACAGCCAGTAATGCGACCAGGCACGCGCATTCTTGAACCGAAAACCGGGCATATAAGACTTAGCTCAGCAACCAACGGCCGAGAACTAAGAGAGTCAAGTGAATCAGTGCCATTGTTTGGCGATGCAGAATCAGGAGATCCAACTCTGGCGATCACCTCGCAAAGTGCATTAACGCCAACAGGACGACGCCGCTGGAGGCCATCGAGGAGAACGTTCAGCGCCGGCATATGGGCCATGAAGGCGGCAAATCGATGCGACTGTATTTATAAGAATATGTACATAATAACAGTGATTTAAAAATAAAAATATGGGTTGTGCTGAACAAAAAGTAAACAAACACGATTAAAACGAATATAAGCAACTTACCTTATATTGAACACAAATAATAATCTAAGTACTACCAGATATTCAAGTTAATTTTAGCGCTATTGGAAAGAAGAAAACCTAGCTCTCCGTCAGCACTAGTATTAACACCTAGGAATATAATAAAAAAATTATAATTGCCTAACAAGTTACAAATGTTCGTATAAAGTGAGTAGTTCATCATTGCTTACATTATTTCCCTTTGGAGCATTGAACGAATTTAATAATTTCGTTGGCTTAGCCACAAATCTTAGTAAATTCATTACAACCTCGGCCAGATCACAAAGCCAAGAGTCAATTTGATACCTCATCTGCTTTTAAGAATGTTAGGAAATAACATCACTCCAATGAGGCCAATAGAAATCTTAAATGAATCCAAGTCATCTAATGACCTTATAACACG